GGGCGGGGCGGGCCAAAGGGAAGGGCAGGCTGAGGGGTAGGGACGAGGTCCTGGCCGTCCCGGCGGCGCGGCAGGAGGACGGGGGAGCAAAAGGTGACGTCGTGTCGGCTGACTTGTGAACACTGGTGGTGTGTGTGTGTGTGTGTTATCAGTTATGTGAAGGCACTACCTCTGCGGCGACCACGTCATGGAGGGACCTCCCCATGGACCACGTATACTGAGTTAACTGAACTGTGAAGACTGCGGATGCAAGGCGACTCGAAAAAAAGTTGCAAGAATAATGTTCTGTTTGACGTATTCCTCCACTCCGTATTAAAATCTAATCTGTTGTTTTCTTTTTTTTTCCTTCAAAAAAAAAGGGGGGTTTGTAAACATCTGACGTTTAGGATGTCACTTTCTTTGAGGGTGTGTAAGAGGTAGAATTGTTGGGATGCTAATGAATTGTACAGCGATGTCTTGACTGATAAGAGATTTATATTTTGCACTCAAATTAAAATATTGCGCTATTCATATTTAGATCAATACCATAAAGTGTAGAATCAATGCAGAGAAAGTATAACACCCTCTCATGCCACTACAGAGAATACTAAGATTTCATGACAGATAAGGAAGGAAACCATGCAGTATGAAAAAGACTACAGTCAATGCTGCTTGTAGAAAACACCAGATAAACATATCCTGCTTGCACCAGACATAATTTCACAATGTTTTTAAATCCTCAGTTTAAGCAATGAACACATATTTAGTAAATTATGCTTTAACTGTAAACTTTAATTTTTAATCTGGACAATAAGCAGCTTTAACTGTAGTAAAAGAAAGGGGGGAGGGGCGACTTTTCCTATCCAAACACAAATCTTTGGTACAGATATCCAGCTTCCTCTGGTGTGCACTAAAATCAGTTCGTAATCACAATATTATTTGAAGACATCTTATGTACATAGAGTTGTTCAGAACAACAGATAGGCCTTAGATTGAAAAATCAAAAGGAAAAGGTGAATTTAAGTTTGACTAGATACTCAAATATTGTTAAGAGTTACACAAAAATGTTAATTAACTGGAATGTGGCTGCAGAAGTTTTCCATTTACAAATTCAAGCATGGGAAGACTGAGAAATATCTACTGTACAAAATTCTTCTGTCTAAACAACAAAATTTTTGACGATTCTGTATGATAAATTATGTGGAACTATTTTTCCAAGAATGATAAGTTTTCTTAATTTATGTTCCCCAACAAACTCTGTTAGGTCAGCAGTCAAGAGTACATATAAAGTGCACTAGTTATAGCAATCACAATAAAAACAAAAGCTTCTAAAAAACTTGAACAAATTGAGAATTCAACAGTAGTATCTACAACAAAAGCCTTCTCGAGGAGAAAGGCAATCAAAAAACACAACTGAACAGAATGAATGACATTGTCAGATAAAGAACGTTAAGAAAACATCATAGAAAAATAATAAGGATGCTTACATTTAGAAGCATATTATTCAGTCGCAAAGAGATGGGGCCCATGGGGCGTTGCCAATTTTCATTCAAAACCTACAAATATTTGGCACATACTGACCACCAAGCAAGTACATGCACTAATTGATCACAATAATAGTCTGAGGTACCAACATGAAAGAAAAAACGAATACAAACACAAATTGGAGTTTATAACAAAGAATTTGTCAATTTGGCAACAGAATGTTGACAGTAGAAAAAGATTATTTTATTTTGCCTGACAGTCTTAGGCCTCATTTAACAACAGTGCTGGCTTTAAGGCCATGCCACTCAAATCAACAATCAACATTTCACAAAGAAATTTTACTTTCTTTGATGCACTCACACATTCACACAGACTAAGACATATTCACACGTCTTCTTTGGTTTCTGCCAGTTAGATAAAATAATAATGTTCATAATAATAATATAGATACATTCATTTATGCCCTGCTAGTGTAAACATTAACCAAAATCAATGTCAATATGACTTAGTTTCACTACGAGCCACCTAAAGCGTGTAGGCACAAGGTTGGGGTCAAGGGGGAGATTTGGGGGGGGGGGAGATAGCAGATCATCACAATAAAATTAATATTAACTGTAAATAATAACATTAACCAACCACGCTACATCACTACTTAAAACTTAATAATCGCAGGTAATAACAACAGTATCAACGTAAATCAGTTTTGGCTTTGGCTGCTCAGCTACACAAGTCTGCGCCGCGTCGGGTCAGGTCGGGTCGGGTCGGATCCGCCCTCTACGACTTGTAGGTGCGGATCACGTCCCGGATGACGGCCCGGCACATGGGGCAGTGGCCGCCGCCCTTGCCGCGCCACTGCTGCACGGCGCACTCGAAGCACATGCACATGTGCCCGCACATGTACAGCACCGAGTCGATGGGCCGCTCGTAGCAGATGGAGCACTCGCTGCCGGACATGGTGTTGGACATGGCGTACTGGCCCATCCACTGCTGCACGGACGGCTGCGGGGAACAAAGACGGGGCGAGAGTTAGAACCAGGGGAAAGAGGTGAACAAGAGCAACTTTCCAGAAAAATCTAAATTTTTTCCTTGAAAATTTTACTTTTTAAATTTTCTGGAAATGTTTCATTTCCTCTCTGGGAAAGTTTCTCATTTTTCCGGAAAACCAGTAGGACTTTAAAATTCCGAGTCGTTACTCACCTCTGCGGAGCCGTTGGCGCCGTTCGCGCTGGCGACGCTGGTGGCGGCGGACGCCTGGTCCGCGGGCGCGGGGGGCGGGCCCGGCAGGTACGTGTGCGGGTTGGGCGGCAGGTTGACGACCAGCATGGTGCCGCCGTTGGCCGCGAGCTGGAGCACCTCGGCGGTGGCGCCGGTCGCGCCCGCGGCGTGCGCGGGGCTCGGGTGCGGCGTGACCACGGTCACGGTGGTGGGCACGGCGGCGGCGGCGGCGTGCGGGGGCACGGGCGGCCGCGAGGGCTGCTGCGCCTGCTGCGCGGGCAGCGGCGCGGGGGCGGGCGAGGCGCTGCAGCACGCCAGGCGCCCGTTGTTGGTGTTGTTGGCCGTGTTGGGGTCCACGCTGGACTGGTTGTGCACGCCCATGCGCTGCGCCGAGGACGGGTCCATGAGCGAGCCCAGCAGCCGGACGCGCTGCGTCGAGCCGTACACGTCCAGGAAGGCCCACAGCTGCAGCGAGTGGTCCACGTGCATGAACACGACCGGCGTGCTGCCGTTCCGCGAGATGGTCACCTCGCCCGAGTGCGTGACGGAGAAGGTGAGCTCGTCGCCGCGCTGCGGTGCCGAGGCCACGTCCTTGCTCACCACCCAGTACTCGGAGCGGTCCAGCAGGAAGTCGGCGTCCTCGGGCAGGTCCGAGTGGTTCAGGGTGGAGGGGTCGCACGACGTCAGGCCGAAGGCGAGCGCGCCCACGTAGGCCGGCTCAGTGTTGAGGACCTGCAGGGAGAGAAAGCAGCGAGCGTTAGAGGTAGGAATTTGAATTTCCCGGAAAAGTATTTTTCAGAAAATTTTGAAGAAGTTTTTCGTTAAGTTTTACTTTTCCTAAGTTTTTCTGGAAATTTTTCAATTTCTTCATCTATATTTTTTTTTAAAGTTTCAAATTTCACTAGGAAAATACGTCCAGACGGCCTTATAAAACACAACATGGACTCACCTGGACGACGATGCGCTCGCCCAGCATGACCGGCCGCTGCGTGAACACGTAGCCGTGGCAGAACTCGGTGTCGGGGCGGTTGGCGACGGTGCGGTCGTGGTTGAGCACCACGTTGCGGCCGCGCGTCCGGTGGAAGGCGAGGAAGCTGAACACGGCGCCGGACGGCTGGAAGCGCGGCTGCGGCAGGTCCTGGTGGTGCGGCTGCTGTGCCGGCTGTGGTGCGGGCTGCGGCTGCGGCGCCGGCTGCGACTCGTGGTGGCCGCTGGTCACGCTGCTGCGGTGCTGGTGGTGGCCGTGGTGGTGGCGCTGCTGCTGGCTCACCCGGCTCTGCTGCTGCTGGTGCTGCTGGTGAGAGCGCGGCCGGGGTTGCGCCTCCACCTGCTGGGGCTGCTGCTGCAGGCGCATGGCCGCCATGGCGCTCGACAGCCGCTCCGGGGAGCTGCCGGCCTCCCACGACTCGCCGCCCGACGTCAGGCTGCGCCGCGAGTTGTTGAGGTTGGAGCGCGGGTCCACCAGCTCGATGGCCGTCGAGTTGCCGTACACGTCCACGACGGCCCACAGCGGGCCGCGCGTCTCGACGTCGCCGAAGAAGAACCCCTTGTCCTCGCCGTTGACGCCGAAGTGCACGTCCCCGGTGGCCGTCACGTAGAAGTAGAGGACGGCGCCCTGGGTGGCGAAGCGCTCGCTCAGCGCCTTGGCCCAGCTGCCGGGCTTGTTGGTGAGGTCCGGGCAGGCGTAGCGCGGCAGCCCGGACGAGGACGCCGCCAGCGTCACGGGGTCGTACGACGTGAAGCCCATCCGGATGACGCCCGACCAGCTGTCGGAGATCTCCAGGAAGCGGATGTACACCTGCAGGGGCACACTAGAGGTTAGTCACCACGCACTCCAGGCGGTCCGCCGCCGTCGTCGCCGGCCTCGGTGTCCGGCACTACGCACCTTCTCGCCGACCAGCACCGGCCGGTTGCTGAACGTCACGGCCTTGCAGAAGGACTCGTTGCGGCGAGCGACGCGGCGCTCGTAGCACAGCTCGATGTTCTCGCCGTGCACCTGGTGGAAGGTGAGCGGCGGCAGGTTGTTGGTGGCCGCGCTGCTAGAGGACCGGGTCGCTGCAACAGAGAGAGGAGATGCCTCGTTAGAGCGAGAGACAGAGAGCGAGGGGGTGAGAATCACAAGAGATGAGGGCGAAGGAGGGAGGGGGGGGGGCTCGCAGCAGCCCCCGCTGCCGCCGTCCCTGACCCACCCCCTCCCGAGCCTAGCGCCGGAGCCGACGGCGCAGAAAACACATCCCTGTAAGAGGCGAGAGAGAGAGACTACAATGTGGTGTGCTCACCTTCGCGTAAGGCGACACCTTCCGCGGGGCCGTGCCGGTGGAGGGCGGAGGAGGGGGGGGGGG